CCCCCCTTAATAATTATATTCTCCCCACTCAAGAATTGTGAGGCATCGTGGTGAAATCAGGCACTCGTCAAAATAATAAAATTGAAGATGTTGTCATTTTCCCGCCAGTTTGAGAAATTTGTTCAACTTTTTTGTTTTTTGGGCTCAACACCTTTTATGTCCATTTAAAAACAAACGTATGGGTGGATTTTACTGGAAAAACGATGGTTAAAGACACAAAACGGAAAATTTCCAATTTCCAAGGACTCTACAGCATTGGAAAGTACCAAGCTTTGGCGGCCATTTTCTCTCTTAATTTACCTCTGAAATCAGGCGACCCCACTTCCTTTAATCGATAATATCTTGATTTCTATTAAAGATAAATGGGTATTTTTTTATCGAGAGATAGATAAATGAACAAGCTTTAAGATGACACCCATAACACTGAATGCCAAGAAATTGACGAGCGCCTGATTCCACGGCGTCATGACACAATAATAATTGTACTTTTGTCCTCTGTGTGAAGCGGCGAAGCTCCTTACCGCTACATCACGGACGCCTTTAGGGTGCTTCTGGTAGTTTCTTCATTGTTTCCTTTCCTCCGTTGCTTCTGTTTATTTTCTTAGCATATAACAACCGTTACTTTGTCAAAAGTGCTTCTCTTTATTCTAACAAACAAACAGTCCAATAACAAACCCCAAAAATGATAATATTAACATTATTGTCCAAATTTACGTGCTATTTATCTGTAGGCCTATAAATGTAGGTTATGATTTCTTGTTGGGGTTTTTGTGTTGGTTTTATTTTTTTTCATATTTTTAAAAATTTTTTGGGGGGTGGGTAGTTGTGATTTTTTCTTTTCTTTTTTGGATGGTAGGACAACAAGCATAATATACACCGTAATGTCCACACGTCATATGCTTATATTTTAGAAGTACTCGTAACCAGCTTTCAATGTGGGGTGTTCGTTTGGGGGGGGGGGGTGTTGTTGGTTTGTTTTGGGGGTTTTTTGGTAATCAAAGTGGTTCTCGTTCTCTGTCTGCAGGTGGACTTTGACCTTGACATTCCTCTACGGTCTCGTTCTCGCCATGGGGAACCACGGGAGTCGGCGCGACCAACGGAAGTGGGCTCGACAAGGTGGAAAGGCCGGTAAGTCAGAGCTAAAAAAGACTTCCTGATTAAGAAGTTACCTCATGGAATTCTAACGTTGCTTGCGTAGACTCTTCCTCTCTCTCTCT